ACCTCTATGTAAATGTAGCGACGCACAAAAACAGAAAATACCCACAAACATCCTTCAGTTTTCGGTTTCTTTGCATCTTTTCATACAATGTCTCCACTTGCAAACAACTAATGCAAAGAAAGAATTTGATTTACGTTATACTGGTCAATGGTCAATGCTTTAATCAAACATTACCGATTCACAGGCTTGATTCTATTTTCTTATTTGTAATTCTTTTTAAAGTTCTATTGTTGCTAATTGAAAAAAATGCCTTGATTGAAAAGAAAAGCCAAGATGAAAAGGGAATAAAAGAGATGCATGCATGTCTAAATTGATCTGCATTATGTGGACATGTACTGAGTGAGTGAGATTGGGTGTATCAATTACAAGGTGACTAGCAGGGTAGAGGAGCGGGGTTATCATTAGCAGGGACTGGCGCTGGCCTCTGGTAGTTCCAGTAATTACCTCACAAAGGGTGGTGCTTGCCTTCCCACTGCTTTTCCCACACTGCACTCCAGGCTCAGAATTCCAATCGGCCCCAGACCTGCAATCTCCTCGGTTTTAGACAGCAAATTACTGACAAGTCCCATTCTTCACAACACTGTAATTGCTTTTTAGTGCTGTTTTTATTGAGGCAACCCCAACCCCCTTGCCCTTCCCTCAATAAAGCTAAGTCAGGGAAGGGGCGAAGGGTTAATATAGATAGCATTAGTACCTAATTGGAAGGTCTCGGCATGCAGGAAAGTTTCATATAAGTCCTGTCATCGTTTCATCTTATCCAGACCTTGATTGATAATACCGGTGATTCGGTATTTTATGTAGTTTGTATAGTGATCAAGAAGGATGTGTTTTCTTTATAAGTCATACGTTCCATATTCGTCATGAAGGTAGATGAATCTCTGTCTGCTCCAGAGAAGTGATGTAATTTAGGCTCTTCACATCCCATACAAAGAGAGGCACTGAGCATCTTGGCTACTCTACGACATATATCACTTTGTGTTGTCTTTCCCACCCCTGCGCATTACTCTCTCAATGTATTACTTTGTGGAAATCATTAGTCTCCATGTCAATACAAGCTCGGAGCAGAGAAAACATCTCATTATGGGACTTAAAGAGATCCGTAGCATTCTCGGCTCCGTCAAGCTGTTCTTCCTTTCTTCAATATATTTTCTTTCCTTTCACTCAGAGGACAAATTCTCAACGTTCCAACGCCGGACAACCAAACAGTTGCCATTTGAAATGAGAAAAAGAGGAAGAATGGAAAATGGCCGAGGGATTAGAGGATCTAAACAGGATAAAGGGATAGGAGATTCTTGGTGTGATCCAGTTTAGTTTGAAAGATGGAGGGTCTTAACAAGGATTTGAGACTTTAGAATTCATTGTGCCATTATTTCCATCCTTTGCAGTTTCAGCTAAATTGTTTGCCGTTTTGTGGCCCAGTACAAGCCCATAGATCTAAACATGTTGACATGCAGCTGAGCACAATGTTTGTAATTATTGTAACACAATGTGCCTGTTATCCCTTTTTTCGGATGTATACACATTTCCAGGTTGTTTCCCACAATTTGTAAATGTAATTGGAAAAATCCATTCACCTTGTAGGTTTTTCAGGTATTCATCACCCACAACAATTTATAATAGCCCTCAAGAAGTTTGTTATAACTTTAAAAGGGACAAAACACAAAGACATTATAGGCCAAATATGTAAAAGAAAGAAAATGTCATATGCAAAGATAAGTTAAGTATGGTTTATGTGATGAAATAGATTCACATTCCTCCTTTTTTTTTGTCAAGGCATCAAACGTGACCACATCCTCTCTTTATCAGGCTGAGCAGCAAAGTGCCCTAGGGGTACAACCAGCAATTGACTCGGGTAGCAACCTAATTCGCCTGTGCCCTCATGTGTTCATCTCCCTGTCAGTCTGAGCAGGTTGACACCTCTGACCCTGTCACGGGTGTCAAATAGCTTGTCAGAGGCCTTCAATAAAGTACAATGACAAGCCCTCTAATGCATTACCGCACGAGTTCCAGCCAGAAATGAGAGGCTGTAGCCTTTCCAGCCTCAAGGCAGACAGGTGCACCGTCGAGCAACACACACACACACACACACACACACACACACACACACACACACACACACACACACACACACACACACACACACACACACACACACACACACACACACACACACACACACACACACACACACATGTATATACACACTCAAACACACCGGACACAAATAAGCTCTCCCTATCAAAACAATCACCAACAAAATGATAGTATATCAACCTTAATATTATTAGAGTAAACCCAACTTCCCCAAAATAATGCGGAATTATAAAATGTTGAAATTATCATTGTGTTTTTTGGCCCTTGGCCCGCACACGTGTATCCAATGTTCAAAATGCATCTAAATTCATTACTCAATCACTTTAGGATTATCATTGAGGGTCTGACATAACCAAAAGAGATCAGTTGTCAGTAGCAATAAAAAACACCATACTTGGACCACCTTGGGAGCATGTAAGGCCTGTCACCATGAGGCCCCTCTAAAGGGCCCAAAGGGCCACTTACAATCAACCTGTCAATGTCACGGATGCCTGAATTTTGAATAATAAGATGAGACCGTGTTAAAAATCATTTGGCATTAACATGACAAGTGAAGAATCCTATGTGCCAGATCTGGACACTACCTGGTTTTGATGCCACAGGTTTTGGTTGGTGCTGGTTTGTCCTTAAGGCCCTGCTTCAACATGCTGTACATTCCAAACAATTATCTACCCCAGGGTGCAACAGGTTCACACTTAAATCTTTGATGCCTCCTCCAATGGGATATAGCTGGATTTAAAACAGGGAGCAGGGGTGGGACAACCCTTAAAAACCTGTATACATAGCAAACATGAATCAACTTCAAACCAACCCACTGAGGGAAACAAAAAAGTCTTTCAAAGAAATACTTTTATCCTCAATGTTGTTTCATCTTGCAATGGCTCGTCATAGACCATGTGGATGCTTGAAGCAAGTTTCAAAGAGCAGAAGTAGACTCAAATATTACACCAGTCAAAATGTCCTTTGACTTCATAGATGGTGGTGACCTTAAATGCAGGTCACTAAAAGGGTGCTGAGACCCTTCAAAGACATGGACCATGGTAACCTCACGTCTAACCAAGTCATCCTTTAGAAGGAAATCCAGCTCCCTGGCATGGACGTTGTGTTCAATGTGTACCCTTACACCTTGCCAGTACACCCCTTCCCTGCAAGCCAGCGATTCCCATTCTTAATGCAGTCCACTCCCACACTAGAGGCCCACATGAGATTTCTGAGGAAGTGCGTCCTTGAAGAGCTTGTCTCAACCATCTGTCACGGATGTCCCTGGACATCTCCCATTGATACTTATGGCTTCCCCATATACTAGAACAGGGGTCATTAATATTTGTATTACATCACAAAATGTAAATCAGTAGCACGAGCAACATTTCGATTAAAACAAGCCATGGTTTACCACCATCTTCAAAGGGTCTTACCCAAATGTATGGTCTGATTTGCATTTACACTCTTCATTGCCATTAATCTGGATCGCATTATTGCTTTTGTTTCCATTAACTGTGCTGTCAAAATACATGAGAACCATTTTTATGCGGCAATGACTCAATATGCAATCGAATATTTCCGCATTTGCCCAGGGCGGAGTGCAAAATGTTATGTAAATCCCCTTAACGACCTTTTCAGGCTGCGTACAATCACCATACAAAGGTGATTGGCAGCCGACACTGGTGCACATTTATCCTTTTGCCCCAGCCGGTCTCTCTCTGTAGCGCCCCCTACTGTGCGAGGCGTGGGGTAGGGTGCCCAGTGGCACTTGTTGCCAATGGATGAGGCCAGCATGGGTCCTCTCATGGCAACGATGCTGGTCGTTGTAATAATGTTTGGTTTGTTTCCTGCTTCACACCTCCTTTGGGATTTTGCCCGACCTATAATCCAGGACATGAGACGCAGAGGGAGGCATCCCATGCCTGTCCATCTGAGTTCCAGCCCTGCTTAGCCCAAACCAGCTCCTTTGTACGATTCACACAGCAGTCTATTGGTTGCCTTTGGGCCATTTAATAATGTGCTTCTATTATCATGATTATTATGATTATTGAAATGCCACACCATATACTGTACTAAAACTCAACAAGTTATTTGAATAATGTTGTATTTGAGATTGTGAAGGCCCAAAACTTTTCAAATAAAACACTTCCTTATGCCTCCACACACATTCCCTCTGTCTCTGTCTCTGTCTCTGTCACACACACACACACACACACACACACACACACACACACACACACACACACACACACACACACACACACAAATTCATGCACAAACACCAGATCAGCGTTCCCAAGCCCCTCACTGAGCGTTTTTATCCTTGCAAGGCCTTGTCTCAGAGGGGAGTCGGCCCCTACTGAGATCCTTACCCACTTCCTACTGGGAAGCTTGTTAGCTCCTTGGCATCCCATTTCCTTTCACAAACTGCAGACAAGCCACTCTTTGCCGGATCAGCCATACATGTACATTGATTTAGGCATGACTGACTCAGCGACTTGGATAATGCCTCTCAGGTAATACAGTAGTTTGTATACATTGCCCAGAAATGTCAAAAATAAAATGTCTTGTTTTAAAGGAGCTATGTAGAATCCTACTGTAGCTGTGCCGCGCCCCCCAGGTGGGGATAGGTGTTCTGGGAGCACATTTGACACAAATAAACAAGGGATTTAAAAAGAAAGAGAGAGAGAGAGTGAGTGCACACGTGCGGAAAAAACGTTGTCAAAGCTTTGATACAATTGAGGACATAAGAAGTTGTTTGTGTGTTTGTGTGTGTGCTTTGGGGGGGTAACAAATACACCCCCTGGTTTCCTATTTCTAGTCCTGTGTCCGCACATCACAACTGTCAGTGGGTAGTGAGATATGAAGCCGAAAAGGAGAAACCGCGAAGGAGGAGAGCCATTCAAATGGATATTACCGCTGTGTTTGCCTGTGGAGCATGGAAAGGTGGATTTAGCACTACCCCTAGGATCTGTACTGTGCATTCGGCTCACGGTACGTTATAAATGTATATTATGACAATGTCAACCCAATAAAGTGTTTTGTTTTAATTCCAGTTATAATCGTTATACATAAAAAGATAGGTCAGCTGCTATTTGAGATGTTTTTTAATCTGGACACAATCCAGTTGATTTCTGAGCAATATTTCTGCCTGATATATCTTTTTGAAGCACAATGACAACTCGTCTAAGGAGATTTTCAGCCCTCAGGCATAATTTTTCAGCAAAGGGATTATCTCAGAGTCCAGATATGTGAATTGGCTACGGCAGAAGTTACAGGTGTTATAAGATATTATTTTAACAGCTTTCATTGCACGTGTTTCCCCCTGATCTCTGTTGTCACACCTCAACACCTGCACCTGTGCTCTGACTCTGTGCAAAGAGGAGGATCGGGGGTTTGACTTTAGTTGCTGAATGGAGAATCACCAAATCTAGCAACAGGTTATTGCAACAGTTTACTTTTTTTTGTATCTGATTCTACTGTGTTGTATTTTGTAGTGAGGAATTACAGAACAGTGCAGAGTTAAATCTGTTATTCTGTGATGTTTTATTTATTTTATTTTTTGCTGTGGTTTAAACAGTATTATGGTCTAGCTGATTCAGGTAGCAGAAAAGGAAGTAACTAACCTGTTCTGCATCACAAAGATGAAAAACAGGTTTCTTTTAGATGTCATTATTTAAGAAAATTGTTTTGCAAAAAATTAAAAAGTGATTCACTTTGAAAACACTTTTTTAATCCATCTGCACATATATATATATATATATAACGGATTCCTTTTTTTCTTTTTAGAAAATAATATCCCCCCTTTATTCTCCATTATATTACTCTACCTCCATCCTCCAACCCTCTAGAGTAGACCAATCGAACAGTGCATTGTGAGAGGTTGCAATTGTTTAAGAATTTTCCAATTTCAGAAATGACACGCACTCGTTTTTCCTTAATAGGCAATTAAAGTACATGACTTTGTTTATCAGTCATTATAATAACATCCTTAGCAATACATTAGTACCAAGGATAACAATTTGTTGTGATTGGAGTCTTTTCCAATGTAAAATCAGAAAATACTTTTGCACCAGAGTGTGACCAGAACATGTGAGTGAAGTCTGCTGGAGAGCGTCTGTCACGAATATCAGAGAGGTTTGGATAAATCTTTGTTAATCTAGCTTTGCAAAAATGGATCCTATGAAGTACTTTGAACTTAATGATGTTAAGCCATGCGCAGGAGGCAGATACATGTATTGCATCAAATGCATTTTCCCACTATTCACCCATGTATTCACCTCATAAATTAGGAGTGCTGCATAGGTTTAAATGGAGGGCTGTGAACCCAATAATGTTCTTGTCTAGAGCAGAGACTTACAGGTTATTTTAATGTTACCCCCCGAACAAAATGTAAATGGGCTGAATCAATTGAAGAAATAAATGTTTGAATAGAAAAATGGGTTAACATTGAATTCTGTATAAGGGGGGCACAGTCCTGTTAATAGGTTATATAAAACCTTAAGAGAAGGCTACGAGTAGAAATGTTTTGTAATGCAAATGTGATGTTCACAAGTTCCTAATTCTCTAGTTGTTTAAAAGTTGTTAAAGTAAATAATGATTTGAAACATTTCTGTTTCATTGCACCACGGCAAATAGATATTGAAAGCAGAGTTAAATCTGAGTATCTAAACAATTGCTTCTCTGTAAACACCTTCCACACACACATACAAAAGACAGCAGTTGCTGTGAAAATATGCTGAGAGCGATCTCTAAGGCATTTGGCAGGGCACAACCACAAATTATGGAGGCAGAGTGAGACAGCATTATGAGCCTTCACTGTGTGGTCCATCACCAACTATAGACCCTTTCCCCTCCCGCTGCTCTCTCCTGCCCTTCTCCCCTCCTGCTGCCCCCTCTGCTGGGGGTAGCAGGCATAGTTGACCCTGGTTAAAATTCAACCAGCCCAACAATAACGCGGTTAGACTTTCCCTTAATGAGATGGTCACGCATCAAAAGGAAGTGGAAGTAGCAGCATTTGAAAACAAATACCTCTATAGAAGATTAATTTAAACAGTCAGACTAGGAGAAATATCCATACAGATTGATACCACCTAAATGAATCACCCTATAAGACCTTGGATGCTTGGTATCCGCTTTATTATGCACAAACCACAATTTAGAAGTTATTGGCCTAAAATAAACACAGCATATTTACCTGTAAGAGAAACAACTAACAATCTGTGGCATCCGAGACTTATTGATAACAGTGACTGACAATACAACACAATTCTAATTATATATGAACACATTGATTAATTAGATTTATTAATGAAATATTGTGGACAAGTAAATACCAACAATAATATATAAGTATATTGATACTACTCTATTCAACGCATCTAAAACCAAGGGGGATCCTTCTCTTATCTTTGGCCTATTTATTGTCTTTTGAAAGACATGCCTGACTACAGATTGTATCCTATTTGTTGTTTGTGCAAAACCGTTGTGCTATAATAACAAAAATAATGTATCAATATATGCTCTACTAATTTAATTACATTTTATTATGTATGTCTGTGTTTTGATGCGATAATTCCCATTTGTCGCTTTTAACTGTCCTTTAAATAAACTTTACTTTAACACAAATTAGCATCATACACTGCCATGCACACTTAACATAACATAACAGTAAGATAGTAGAACAATGTAATCCCATATGCAGTAGTTAAACCACCTTGTAAACAGTGAACTAGGCCTAAATCATCATTATTTCATCATATCAATTGTTATAGATGGATGACAAGTCTCTCTTGTCTTAAATCAATATTAAACTATTTCAAACAGTGAACACCCTTGTCATGTTTGAATGTATGAATACAAATTAATTAAAATTAATAAAAGTTAATTACAGAGGTGGGAGAAGTACTAAGATCTTGTACTTAAGTACAAATACAAAACTACTAGTGAAGGAATACTATGTTACAAGTAGATATCCTAGTAAAAGTCCAAAAGTATTAGCATCAAAATATACTTAAAGTATCAAAAGTTAAAGTAGCCTACTAATTATGCAAATTGGAACATTTCAGAATAACTTATTGTGTTTATCAAAGCTGGTAAAGTTGCTGCTAGCTGTACTTTGTATGCTGCAGGGTAGCTCGTGAATGTAACTCCAGGTGTATAACTAAAGTCTTATTTAAGTGTTGTTTATGTTTCACATTATTAATCCAAGTCTGCAACGTAGCTAAAGGTATTAAATAAATATAGTGGAGTAAAAGCACACTATTTACCTCTGAATTGTAGTTGAGTAAAAGTACAAAGTAGGGGGAAAAAATCGATTTACTCAAGTAAAGTACTGTCCAAATTGCAATTAAGTAGAGTAGTTGAGTAAATCTACGTAGTTACTTTACCACTGGTTAAATCCGGGTTAAACCAACAAGGTGTCAGCGGTGCTTGTTATTCTTCCCTCCACCGCAAGGGGCGACATTTCCTGATCGGACGATCACGGAAGTTGAGCTGGAACGGAACCTCTGACGTGTCAAAGCGTCGCCATTTTCCTGAGGAAGGAAACGCCTTGAAGAAGGAAGGAAACATCAACTGTGTAAGTGTGTAAAATAGGCTTAAATTAAGCGAAAAATTGGTAATTTTTCACCGAAGGTCACGTTGGTCGCATCAATAGCTATGCGTTGTTTAGCTGAATCGTCTCTGTGACTGCGTTTCCAATAAGTTATCCAGGACGCCGGGAGAAAAACTGACAGGGTGCTGAGAGCTAACTTTACCGATAATACTAGCTAACTTATCTTAATCAACAACTTACATTTGTTATTGTATTATTTTCACCACCACATAACGCACACATGTCTTCTGTATTAAATTGGGATTAAAATATGAAACGAGAATCGTAGCAAGCAGGAACGTAGCCAATAAACTGGTCCGACAGGTATTAGCAATGTAGCAAGCTAACGTTGTTGTTTGTTTATTTAGGTTAGCCGGGTAACCTTTACTATTGCACCTTGTCAAGCTAATATGAACTATAATATACTTCAGAGAGCCTCATTTAGTCCCCACGTTGCTGAAATGGCGGTGTCCTAACATGGTCTTCATATATAAACTACCTTCACTAATACAGGACGACGGCTAATTGCTACCAAAGGCTAACCCCATTTGTGAACTCATCAGTCCGCAACCTTACGTTACACCCTGATTATGTAATAAACACATTGCCCATTTTGAGATCTTTTTGGGGGAATACATCTTATTGGATAAGTCGGGACTCGTTATTTTGTTTAAAAATATATAGATATCTGAAACAAATGACCAATTGAGCATAGAGATATTTCATTTCCGGTGTCCTGTAGGAACGTCATACGTCGAATCATCTTATCTTCCCAAGGATGTATTAACTGCACTTTGAATCATAGGACAATAAGTATCATCAGCAAGTGCGACACGATGTCATTCCTGTCAGTAGAAAACAGCATTCTTGAAATAGCTTGTAATTTGCGACCCCACTCTATAAGTAATGTTGTGTTATGTCACATGTAATACAGTCTCTGAATATTTATCAACACAAGTACAAGGAGTGACTCTACACATTTTGCTTTAGAAAATAATTTTCCATCCAAGCAATTATCGAAAATATTATAGACAGATCCAGGGATGAATTGATCACTTGACCAATCTTTTAAGATGTACACACAGTAACACGATTCACACTAATTTGAACACTTTGTCTTGTTTCTTTCCTCAGGTTTTTTTTTCTTTTGCCAAAGTAGGTTCCCTTCACCAGTCGCCATGGGGAATATGTTTGCAAACCTCTTTTCTTCTATGTTCGGAAAGAAGGACATGAGGATCCTCATGGTGGGTCTAGACGCAGCAGGAAAGACAACCATTTTGTACAAGCTTAAACTTGGCGAGATCGTGACTACCATTCCCACAATAGGTAAGTCAAACACTGTAAAATAGTGGGGTTAAGATGCACTTATTACTGTTGAATTAGAACTTTGTTGGAAATAATTCGATTATTTGTGTTTTTTTTTTATACAGGTTTCAATGTAGAGACGGTAGAATACAAGAACATCAGTTTCACAGTATGGGATGTCGGCGGTCAAGACAAAATTCGACCGCTGTGGCGTCATTACTTCCAGAACACGCAGGGTACGGTCAATTATGTTAAACTATCAAATACTGATATTTATTGGCTTTAAATCAGTAACCTTGTATTGGGCTTTTTTAATAGTCACTAAATGCACTCTGCTTTGTATTTAAAAGTTGTAATACTTCCCAGCCACACTCATTTGTTCCCCATTTGCTCTTCCAGGTCTCATCTTTGTCGTGGACAGCAACGATAGAGAGCGATGCGGGGAGGCTCAGGACGAGCTCGCCAGAATGCTGGGAGAGGACGAGTTGCGTGATGCCGTGCTATTAGTGTTTGCCAACAAACAAGTAAGTTATACTTGTGGAAATCTTTTGATACAAGCAGGTGTTTATGAAAAACAAATGCCTGCCAGTTGTACCTGTTGTATTCACAGGGTTTGCTTCTAATGGTTTACCTGTTTTATTGTTTGCAGGATCTTCCAAACGCTATGAATGCAGCAGAACTCACAGACAAGCTGGGTCTCCACAGCCTACGTAACAGAAACTGGTACATCCAAGCGACCTGCGCCACCTCTGGCGATGGCCTCTACGAAGGACTGGATTGGTTGTCTGGTCAGCTCAAGAACCATTAATAATCACCTGCTGTCCACAACTAATCTTCTCCACCCAATCTCTCACCTTACTATCTACTCTTAAGGTGTTGCAAAACTGAGTTACCTTCTTTAAAAAAAAGTACTGGAAGCGGCCCTCACCTCAACTGTTATCGTCACAAACAAAAAAGCCAGTGGTGGAGGTGATCTATTCTTGTAAAGCTGTCAGGTTTTATTATTTTGTTTTATGTAACTGTAAATATGTTTGGTAATGGGGCAGATTATTGCACTCTTACAAATCCTACCGTGGTTATTTCTCTTTCTGGCTGTTGGGCAGCCGTGTGTGCATTGAATAAGAAAAGGGAGGTGAGAAAAATAATTTACCAGCACGTCGGCCCGGGACCTCAATGCAATCTGATGGCTTGTTCTGGTGGTCACATGTACTGCAGGGAGTGATCCATGAGGGGCTTTTAATTTTCACAAAAACTGAATTAAACACTGATTCACTACTTGCATTTACTGTGGTTACTTAAACCAGTAATTACATGTACCAGCCCCAAAATTATCATTTAGTAAACACTGGCATTTACTATTTGTACTCTGTACTGACATCGCTTTGTCCCAGTTGAGAACTCCTGTCTGTGAACACTTACCAGCCTTTGTTATACAGTATGTTGGCTTGAATTGAGGAATGCTACAACAGTATCACATCTACCTGCTCCATGGTTGTTTGAAAGGCAGTCAGTTGAGGCAGCATTGGGTTTTTGTATTTCTGAGTCTCAGGTTTATCATGTGCTGCCTTTGCAATATACTTGTTAGCAAATCTGCATGATGTGGTCGCTCGGAACATGCATATTTACTGGGTGTTTACATCTTAAGGCTGCACGGGAACTATTACTGAGTACTTATTTCATCAGCCCTATGCTGTAACTCGTGTGACTGTGTGTTAGGTAATTGTAACATAAGGAGTTGCACACTACAATGGCCCTACTGTCTTCACTAAAGGCTCTAGTAAGTCATGTCTTTTTTTATTCAGACTACGGTAATCAAATCTATGAAATTGCGTTTTGATGGCAATACAAAATCAGTGTCAGCTTCATGTTTTACGAAGTGCCAGTATTTCTTTTCTCTGCAGCACGCTGTGCTTGGAACAAACATGAAGCCATACATATGCCTTCTTATCCAAGATACATGTTGCCTTTTTATTTTCAAGTTTATTTTCTAAAAAGGTGTGGGTTACTTTGCTGATCTGGTCATGTCTTGAGGGTTCATCAAACTTTCTTTTGATTTATAACTGCCTAAATATTTGGAAACTATCTTAATCTCTTAAGTTTGTCTGTTTTTTTTATGTAAAGCTTTTGTTTTGTGAGGAAAAAGCACTGTAATTAAAGTGACTGATTAAAAAGTGTTTCTGCATCTGATTTTCATTCTCACACTATGCAATAAAACTAGCTTTTCTCCATACTTCGTAGTATTTTATTTTCAATTAAAAATGTTCGCTGTTGCTACGTAAACAAGTGCAAATTGAGCTATCATTAATATCATGCTGAAAGACCCAAAAATGAATTTGAAAATGTTGTAATGGTGAGCGATGCACCAGGAACCTGAAATCCAAGCAGCTAAATTATGCTAATATGAATTGTATAATTTACAGCTATTCACATTAAAAAGTCTATTTTTTTTATTTTTTTTCTGACAAAAAACTAACAATTTGGTCTGTTCGTCACACACATTGTCAGAAGTGGGTTTTTTTCATGGGCAGTTTTCACAATTATTGGACGTTATATTAACAGTGATTCATCCAAAAACTTGGTAATTAGTATGGGTTACATACATAGTGCAGTATGTAAGCAATACTTCATGTATTTGTATTCATGTACAATGTTTCATGTGTAAAAGCATATGTGGTTTTTAGTTTTTGTGTTATTATCTACACTTCCTATGAAGAAAAGCAAACCAACAATGACCTTATTTTTGATAACCTGAATCTCCTCTGTAGCCAAAACCTGATATATCAGATGATTGGTAGGCATGGGGGGTATCGGATGAACATACTTCACTTTTAGCCTGAAGAGAAACAGACTTCAGGAAACAATACTTACATTTAACAACAAACCCAATAATCTGGTGTCATGGCAACATGTTGGGGCCGCCACCCTTTGACCCTAGGAGAAATGTGATGCCCCAAGGTGATGTAAACCACCCAATGTTTGGGTAAAAGCAGTAATGGGGAGAGCACATTGTGTAGGGGTGGCAATCAAGGACAGCATTCTTGCAGGTTGATTAGGCTGCTATGGTTAATGCAGCCAAGCCTATAAAACATGGCAAGAGAGTGTGGTGGTGGTGGGAGGGGGGGCTGAGTCCAGGGTCCCTCAGAGGGCGGCTTTGTGTGGCCTCCTCTCCTGCTGCTCCGTCAGCTTGGTTTGTGTGTGGCCGTCTAACGGTGCTCGGCCATATAAAAGGACCAGCCTGGTTTTTTGCACTCTTCTTTATGAATGCCTTGCTCTTTTTTAGTGCACCCCCCAGGTGCCAGCCAGCAGAATACCCTCTTTCAGACCAATTCAAGGCAAACACAAACACTACACTCTATTGTGACCAGTGGAGCGCATTCCAATGGTGTCGCACCAGTCAGCGAGCTGAACCTAGAACGGTGAGGGATTAAGGAACGTGGGCATGGGTGGGAACAGAAAAGGGCCGAGCTGCTGGGTGGTGCAGGGGGCGCAGCGGGATGGACGACATGAGCAAGGAAGACAGAAGACATCAGGGAGCATCTTGAAAAAATGTATAAGAAAAAACATTGAAAGAAACACACTCTTGACTTCAAACATATTTATTTTTGCAAGACAGCTGCAATTTTTATATCTAAATATTTTTCTCTGTAAAGTGGGTGTTAATGATACAAATGTTCTGTGCTCATGACACAAATTACCAGAGGTTTTAAAAGTTAAAGCGTTGTAAAAAAAAATACTGCCATTTAAATAGAAATGTATATAAAGAATGCTAATTCAATCAGAAAATTATCTTTTGAACTTTAATTCATCCTGTCAGCAAAAAGAAAATACTTTGGGCATTAAAAAAAAAGGTGGGATATTTATGTTTCTGCTTGCAGCAAATCATGTTCTTAGTCTCTAGTCAAAAACAGTAAAAGCTACCAGACATCGGAATTAATATAACATTTGTATTGTTATCTTACACTGTGTTTCGCAGTAGATCAAAAATCAAATAATCTCAATCTCTCAATCTCAAAATATTTTCATATTTGGTGGGTTGATAACATTGTGTTTTCTTTAAGAACAAAATTCTTGCCAAACATAACCAAAAATACTACGAAAAAAACAGTGTCTAACGATGACCAACTTATTGTGTGTACGAGTTAAAAACATAATCCTGTGAGTCAGACATGGACCTGTCTCCTTCCACAGTCCGTTTGGCTGCTCAGGGTAAATGAGGTCTCCGGGGCCACTCAAGCTGCTGTAGAGCGGTCTGTCCCCGTTATGCGTGTTTTGAATTGAGGGAGGGGGGGGGGGACATTAGTTGTCCGAGTCTGTGTCGTGGCGCCGCCTGTGGCTTTGTGTGTGACCAGCAGGGGCTGTCTTGTGGCTGACAGGGTTACGGGGGACAGGAGACCCCCCATCAGAGGAGTCTGTGTCATGCCGCTGTTGTCGATGATGGGGGTAGGAGGGCTCTCGCTCGGCCTTTGCCCCCCCCCTTGAATGGCTGTCATGGGGTCTGGCTCCACTCTGACTATGGTATGATGGATTATGATGATGGTGGTCCTTTCTGTGCCTGAAGTGTAAAAGGAAACAGACAATCAATGATGGGGTCGTGGTGAATTTGATGGTGTGAGGCTGGGGAGAAGTTGCTGCCAGATAAGCTTTAAAGTGACCGAAAACAAACAGACACTTGTAAGTGAATATAACTAGTTAATGTGAGGATAAATGTTTTATATTAACTTTAAATCATAAATGATCTGCACTACTATCATACGTTAATGTTTAATTGCAATTCCTCTCTCACCACCACATAAATTATAGCCAATCTGGTAAATCCCGACTAACCCACCACACCTGATTTACAATATATATTAAATGTCTTGTCATAAATGCACCTTAAATCTAAAAGGTCATGTTTCCAAATGGTGTGAGTAACACAGTGCCTGAGTGCCCTCTAGTGCTGGCAGTGAAAATCGTTTGGCTCATAGTAAGTCTATTAGTTTGCAAATATGGTTGCTAGACAGGACACAGTAAAATGGCCAATATATTGAACAGAAATAGAGATAGAGATGTTCTTCTAAGCACATAAGAATCGGAAAATGTTTTATCCAAGCCATACTATGCAGTGTTTCTGTTTTTAGGTCCGCACTAAGACGAATTAAACATCTGTATGGAAAAATGAACCAACCTCTTCCTGTCGTCATCTGACTCCGAGGAGGACGAGTCTTTTCTTTGCCTCTTCTTCTTTTTCTTTTTGTCCTTCTTGCTCTTCTTCTCTTTCTTTTTCTTTTTGATGTCGTGCCTACGGAGTCAAATCAAAAAGGGTAAGATTTTGTGATGTTTTGAAATAAATTGGTTTTCCTGAAGTTCTCTTATGTGGCTAATATAATGGATACTTACCGCTGTTCGACATCTCCTTTTTCAACACTCTGCTGAGGCGCCTTTGTTGCTGAGGATTCTGGACGACTTTCTGTTTTGCAGTGCTGCGAAGAAAAACATTTCTTTAATCTCTGCATCAAGTAGTAAATCCAATGAAATAAACTTTCTGTTTGAACTCTCAACTTTTAAAGTCTCTCTTTATTTCACTAACGTTTTTGACCTCTGCATCTTCATTAGTCAGTGAGAAATAACTTACCGTAAAAACAGACAGGCCTATTTTAGCTGCCTCCTTTTCCTTTTGGGACAGCACCATTTTCTTTGACCCTACGCTGTAAGGGAAACGATCATTAATTAACAAACATTTTACAATCATAGCACAAATTAAGATAAAAGTCCCTCTTGCTAACACTTTAGTGTCAAAAAGAACACTTGTTAAAACATCTTAAAAGAGAGACTAAATGTTGTTTTAAAACATTTCTTAGACACTGTACTTATACATTTGCTGATTTGTTTTTATGGTTTCTTATATCCCAAAGTTCACAAAGTTCTAACCTGGAGCTTCCCAAGCCGGAGACACGGTCCACATCTCTCTCTTCACCATCAGCATCTTCCCTCCGGCAGACATCTGCAAGGTCCTGATAAGAGAGTTGGGAAAATTAATCATCAAATTGTATTTATTGAAATTCTATAAAAACATATGCTTTTGAGTGAAAGCATTACCAAACAAAGCGACATACCTCTTTGGTCAGGCCAGTTGGTTGCCTCTTAATATTCTTGTGCCCTCTACGTGGAGAATATAAATAAATACATTAACTGTTTTTGTTCACCTACATTGTATCTATTAAATGTTATATGTTAGGTATACTTACAGGGCAGCCATCAGTGCCTCATGCTCTGCAGCCTTGACGGCAGCTATTTCTTCCTCTTTGGACAAAGGTGCACCGTCTTTTTTGTCTTTTGCGTACCATGACAGATCTTTGCCTTTCTGCCATCGTCCTACTGGTGCCATCAAAGAGTTGCCTGGAAACAAAGCCAAACAAATATATTGTTGATATCTTTGATGCAACAAATGAAGAAGGACTTTTGACATTTTGAAAAAACACATCTTTGGGTTGCACCTTCTCCCCAGTTCATCTGTGATTTCACCATACTTGTAAAATCATCTGTGGTAGCAATAAGCCTTTTGATGTATGTAGGTAGATACGGATGTAGAAGATGCTTTACCCAGCTAACTCCTCTATGATCCAGGATAGGAAGACCTGAGATTTACTTTGTGTCATGCTGTGATCTGAAATGGTATCGTCTGTAACATTCATTAATGGGCTACTGCCTGTCCTGGTCAAGACATACATTCAGGCAAAGTTTATCTTCAGTCGCCTTTAAAAGGCTATATTGGCTAAATAAATTGTAATTAAATAAATGTCTATATCATCCTTTTGTGTTCCAGCTGTGGTGGGCGCTACGTAATTCTTGTTTGGCATGCTGGCATGCTGACATGTTGCCAGCGGTGGGAGATACGTGTGTGCTCAGAGAGAGGGTGCAAAGACAACTTGGACCTGCAGTTTATAGAGTGGAAACGGTTATACTACTGAATAGCTGTACACTGTGTAATGAGGGACTCCAAAACAAAAGGTATGGAGAAGATGCTTGTGCAGTACTGACGCTTTGATGTGTAATTTAATTGTGATTTTAAGATACTTTCTCTAAGCAGGAAACAGCTATTAGCAATGCTAGCTCTGGTTAGCTCAGATAGTTTTGAGACTTACCGAGATAATTTTCTCTGTGTTTATCGCCCTTCACGTCATCCCAGTTGAACTGGTCCTGGCCTCCTCTGACCCCTCCAGATCTGGAGGAACCAAACATTTTAATCGGCTGCCCTGAAGACTTATGCTAAGGATAAAGTGTGTCGTTAGCCCAACAGCTGACTTTAGCCACGTTAGCAGACATGCGGCCTTCAGCGTTCAGACATCCGGGTAGTTTTGGGGTCAGGAGTGTTGATGGGAACAACGTGTTTCCTGGTTATAGTGTTCACTCAGACCCTGGAAACTGATCCGGTTACTTATTTTGCCCGTTATATCCTGAAGAAAAACGACAAGGCGTAAGAAGACTAACTGGATAAAACAGCGTTTTACTGAAGCTAGGCTATGCTATATAAATAACGTAACTTTGCGCCAAATAAACAAAGCAACATGAATAACAATGCGCGTGTATGTCTCCCCGTTAGGTAGAAACTGCAAGTAACAGTGAGTTACATACATATAATTAATAGTGGCTGCATTTGTTTCGCCTGTACTCTTTGGATAATAACACAAACCACGTTTCTGTGTTTTGTCGCGCTTTTTCCGATGCTCGCGAATACGTTGATGTTTCTGCTCGTGTCGATGACGTAGGCATCACTATTTCCTTTAATGGCTCTCACAGCAAAGAATCAGAGCAGATGAGGAAGAAAACAAGCCGGAGACCAGCCCAAAACGGACTAGCATAAAAACCCGATGTACATGAGATATTTTTCCAGGCTATTCTCAGGTAGGAGGGAAAAATACATCTGTCCTTTTACCACTGTGGCTATTACTGCCATTCACCCGCTCCTGTGTGAGAGGAGTCAGATTGTTCCTGCAGGGGAAGAAGATGGGTGTTGTGTATTTACTGAGGAGGCACAAGGGAAGCTGATGTAATTTTAACTGTAGTATAATCATCCTTTAAATAGCCATTGGGTTATTAACGTTATAAAAACAACCCCATAGACACCGTGTTGTTTTTATATCTCTCAAAGTGCAAACCATTTCAAAATGCTATTGCACACAGATCAAATGTTCATACGCTCATTTATGTTTACGTTTTATAATTTAGAAATCAAAATCCTAATTGCTGAGTTTTACAGTCACGGTCACTACTGCCTCTTTACTCTGCATTTAAATCTAAAACATTACATTTTATTGCTTTTATAGCAGTGAGTCAAAGTGCAGGTTGAAGTGCCCTATGCTGTTTTATCTGCAAGATTGTTAACACTTAACACCCACCCTTTGATAGCATAAGATATCAAGTGCTACTTTGCTTTTTGTGTATAACACATCTGAATAGAAACAAAATATTTAAAACATGAGTTTAAATTGAGAGATCAGAGCACACAACGTAATAGGGACGAGAACTGGTTGAACATATGCCCACATAATCTTGTCTGTTTCTGGGTAAACTGGACTAAAACACCTCAGTTGTGTTTTGACTTAAACTTCATGGGGTAAGATAAGATAAGATACAACTTTATTGATCCCAATTTGGGAAATGTTTTGTACTTTCTAGAGCTGTTTTCAGTTTTATGAAAAGTCTTATATGTTGTTTTTTTCTATGAATGGATTAACAGTTTGTCGGAAAGTGTGCATATCCAAATAGCTTGTTTGGTCCAACCAATAGTTTATACCAAAGATATTCAATATATGATCATACAAAACAGATATAAGAAAAATACAGCATTCAATTATCACATTTGGGACCAAAAACCACGAATGGTTGATTAAAAACGTATTGTTTCAGCTCTTACACTGAATAACCTGCAGACTGAAGGTCTGCCACCTGATAGGTTTCACATGATTTACAGTTTGCTTAATGCAATTATCAATCACATGGGGTTCAGTGCACATGATTAAAGTAAACCCACATGTCTCTCATTTCCTGTCACGCTGGTAATGGTTTAGTATAAACGCTTGATTCTTTTGTGTTGGTATATATGTAGCTGCAACTGTCAGAAGCTTTGTGGACACTTTTGTACTAGCTTGAAAGGATGTCCTGCACCTTGAATGAGCCATGTTGCTATTTACGGGAAGCCATCAAGAGGCAATCGAAAGTGACCCTTGTCACTTGCACCTGCACAGAAAACCATCTGGTTTGCATAGAAACGAGAAGGCTTGTAAGGCCGTGTACTTTATCCATGGCTATAAAAAAGGCTTGCCAATGCCCAGCCCAGCTTACTTTTGTTTAAAAAATAATATATATACAGTATATACACAGTATGCATTATTTATAATTTGTTGCATACAAAATATTTAATATTCTGGCTATTTGCCAATATAACTAATCATCGTGCAATCTACTTATTTATATAAATAGTTATCATGGCAATAGGCCATATTTAATTTGGTCTTAATGTACATTATTTTATTTAATATCCCGTTCTTGTACATATATTCTATTTACATGTGTATAGACTTCTTGCACTATTTTTTATTTTTGTATTTTATTATATTTGTTGGAGTAGCTCAGGACAGAAGAATTTCATTGCCATTTCTACACTGTAGCTTATGTGCATTAGGGCCGCTCGATTATGGAAAACATCCTAATCTCGATTATTTGGGTCAATAATTGATAACACGATTATTAAAAACGATTATCCATTTACTTTGAAAACATCCATTTATTGAAAAAAAAAATGTGAACAGTATGTTTTTAACAGTTGATTACCATGAACTTTAAGTATAATTCAACTGAAAAACCAATTTAAAAAATAATTTAAAAAATAATAATTACAAAAATAAATAAAATAAAATAAATAATCGTTTTATTTCGATTATGTTGTTTTCATAATAGTTGCAAGCCAAAATCGTAATTGCGATTGAAATACGATTAATTGAGCAGCCCTAATGTGCATATGACAATAAACATTTGAATTTGAACTGATACCTGCCGATTAAATAGCAATAGACCTAAAACTAATAAGAACAATGGTAGACATTATCTTCTCACTGTATTTCTTTGAGTGGCGCAATAGTAACTCTATAGCGTGTTTCCTGTTGCACAATTTGCTTGAAAGATGCACATAGTCGTTACTGAGAACCAAGCGACTTCTTATTGCATTGATTTCTTTAATTTTAGAAAAGAAAAAACAAACAGAATGGAGAGTTTCTTCTCAGCCTTTGGACTAGAACCAAAACACACAAACGGGTCGTATAACTATCACATAATTCTGGACACATCTACTCAACATTTAAAATGTAGCTCTATGAAAAACCAAATCTACTAGTTGTTAAACATGGCCCTGCCCTCTCTGTGTGTGTCCCCTCCCTCCTGGGCTTGTACTTGATCTGCCCACACACATCACACACCCTTCCTGCTCATTTGAACCATCTGCTTGAGCTCTGTACGCATTGACGGAAGGTAAGCAGGAACATAGCTTCATCTTAACTAGAGTAGCTTAACTTAGAAGTACCGGCACTGAAAGAAAAGTTTTGTAGAATATACTGCAAGATTTTGAAGTAGCTTTTTTGCTAAATTGTAAAGTACGGTATTCAGGGTCATTCAGGTCTAATAGCAACAGAAGAAGATTGACACACAGGATAGTACAGAGTTAACAAGTCAGTAATAGTTTTAATGAAACTATTAGGTAAGGTAAAACATTTTGTATACCTTTATTTATATATACAGAAAGGAGTAAGGACTCTTTTTAATATAACTAAATATCTAAACATGTCTTTGCGAGGGCAAGTATGCCTATAGTTGTGTTAGTGAATGGATTGTTGCATCAGGAAGTTGACTTTTAATATGAGCTCATGTCTTTGTTGATAGCAGCATTCCCTGTTATGCAACGGTTTTTCTTAGCCTTGTTTTTTTCCTCCAATCACAATCAGAGAAGGGCTCTCCAATTAGTGAGTAAGTGTTTCTGCACCATGGTAACCCAACAGCTTGCCAACCAGCCAATTGCCTCTGCTCTTTTGGGAGATGTTTTGGTCTCTTAATTCGGTCCACCTTTACAAAACGCTGATTTATCATTTCATCATATTTATCCCACAGGACTGAGCGAGGCTTGTCTGAGCCTGGAAACCCCTTGGTTACTTTGGGAAATCTTTCTAAAGAAATATATTTTTGCACAGACATTTGGTCCCACAATGACTCATGCCAGAGGATTTTAGTGGAGATGTGTCATGGCTTCAGCCTCACCCACTTGTTTCCTTCACTAACCTCTCCTCTTCTCCTCTCTGCTGCAGCTATGGCTGGTCCCAGGCCTGTGGTGTTCAGCGGCCCCTCGGGGGCGGGGAAGAGCACTCTGCTGAAGAAGCTCATGAAGGAGTACGACAGTGTCTTTGGCTTCAGCGTGTCCCGTAAGTGTGCCAACATTTAGATTTGATGGTGTTTTTATCAATCTTTTTTGGGTCAATGATCATACCATCGATCCAGGAGATGTATATGGGTGTAAACATTTCTACTCAAAACACATTTAATTTTTAAATTCAAATTGCAATAACTTATTATTTTATTCATCAAATGATCTGCTGATTATGTTCCTGATTCATTAGTTCAATACAAAAAAAAATCTAAAAGCACAAAAAGCAAATACTCATCAATTTCCCATGATTGTTTAAACAAAGATTAATGGCGCATAAAACAGATAATCGTTAAATATTCAGAATATAGAAGATGGACCCAGCGCATTTTTGGCATTCGTTTTTTTTTTTACATTAACTGCAACATAAAGTCACTTATTTGATTAGTTGATACCATTAAAGTCCTTTTTCATGCCAAACATTCCCTGTTTCCAGGTTCCCAAATAAGATGATTAGCTTTTCTTTCTTTAGAGTGATAGGAAACTGAATATGTTTGCATTTTATGGACCAAGGATATAAAAAAATTAAAAAAAAGTTGGATAAATGAAAGATTGAAATAAAGTACAGAGTATGACATGAATGTCTTCTTATCCTTCAGATACAACTAGAAATCCTCGACCTGGAGAGGTGAATGGCAAAGGTAAAACATCTCCCTCCTTTTTTACAACCACTATAACAGTAAATCACCTTTATTGTGTCAGTTAAAGTGTAACTTAATCTGTTATATTGTGGATGTCTCCTTTCCTGGGTTTCAGATTACCATTATGTCACACGAGAGGCGATGCAGAAAGCCATTGACAAAGGTGAATTCATTGAGAGCGCAGTGTTTTCGGGGAACATGTACGGGACGAGTAAAGCTGCCGTACAAGCCGTCCAGGCCAAAAACCTCATCTGTATACTCGACATCGACATGCAGGGTGTGAGGAACATCAAGAAGACAGACCTCAATCCCATCTACGTCTCCATCCAGCCGCCGTCCATGGCAGTCCTGGTAAGCACAGAAGGACGTTTATTTTATTTGAGAAGTTCCTGGTGGCCTGCCAGAGAGGAGTTCCTGGGTGTGGGACCTTGAGTTTGCTTTGAGCCACAGATGACTACTCATACAGGTTTTGAATGCTCTTTGAATCATATCTGAATGCCTTCTGTATTGTTTCAGGAAAAACGTTTAAGAGACAGAAAGACAGAAACAGAGGAGAGCCTCCAAAAGCGCTTGCATGCTGCTCAAGTGGACATGGAGTTTGGTATGTATTTATCATTTATTTAAAAAAACATAACTACACTAATGTTTCAAAAAACATGACTGAACATAATATGATATCCTTTCAGGTAAAGAACCAGATATATTTGATGTTCTTATTATCAATGATCATTTGGACGAAGCCTATGGGCAGTTAAAAGAAGCTCTCAGTGAGGTGAGTAACCATTGCAGAACTCTGACGTCGATTCAATAATCAACACATATCAAAACAGTTTTACGGCTTTGAGTTATAAAAAAAGAGGCATTTTAATACCCCCTGAAATTTGGACACTGAATGAGAAGGTTGTTATGTGTGAGAATGTGTTGAATCTGACTTTGTAAAGAAGAAAATCTCAGGCTGTCCAAAATAAATCTTAACTACTGCCTACTCTATATATCTGGGAGTTCTATTTACTGTGAGCTCATTGGCTAAATGAAAAAAAAAACACCTTTTATAACGGTGGCTGTTGAGCGATCAATAATAAATATGGATAAATAACATACTGTGAGCTATTCTGTTGAGTTGCACGGATGTAAATTCCCCCTGGTAAGCAGTGATGCATGATATGTGCCCAGGGCTTTTATTACTCATTGTTGAAGATTTGTTTGACTAACATCATCAACTTGTATTGGGAGTATAATAAAAAAAACGTTTTGTGTTTCTCTAGGAAATCAATATGGTCAAGAAAGCCAGCTTGTCTTCATAGGAGCAGCTTCCTGACACCTTTTCTGTCCCGTCCATCCACTCCTGTCAAAACCACAGACCTCCATTCCCGTTGTGAACATTCCCTAAGATGGTTTGCTAAGCTAAGGCAAACACATCGCTTAGCGTATACAGAAAGGCTTAAATATTGTGTTTATAGGTAGTTATTACCAAATGATAATGTACTAAGAAACATCAGTTTATTTACTGACATTTAAACCTTTCCATATTTTTATTTTATGAACAAATTGACTCCAATAATGTTTACTTCGTATGTTACTGGCATAGTATGCTGGATGCTCGGTTAGCCTTTGGTTCTACTGCTCACGGTTTAAACGTGAGGATAAACTGGTCTTTCAAGGGTGTGGAAAAGTCTTGGTGGATCTTGATAAGTGGTAGTACGTTATAGTATGTCCTTTGTGTAAGCGGTCATATTGTGTTAATTGGAAACTAGATTTACAGATGCAGATATCTGCACATGTAGTTAAAGAAGGAAATGCATCTGAAAGCTCAGCATTACAACTGATATATGAAGAGAGGGAGAGAAAAACATGGTGGCTGTTTACTTTCAAGTTAACTTTACTGTTGAAATAATAAAACTAGTTCAGTGCTTTGAACTTTTTTGTAAAAGATTTGGGTAAACTGTCACAAATCTCCATTTAACATAGATCATGTAGGGCTCTTAGGAATACATCTGATAATAAAGGTAACAAGTGTTTATAACAAAGAAACACATCTAATGTCACCTTGCCTTGTTTTGTTCGGGGGGCTCGACAACAACAATTTTACTGTTTATTTTTACAATTGTATATTTGTAAACTTTTATATTGTGTAACTATCATTTTGCAGTGTCACTGGTACAGTAAAATGACATAAGTTGTACTTGTTAAACGAAAAAATAAATGTCATGGTTTACTTTTTTCTATATTACTCATAATAAAGCACGGCAATCTCCTTTACTGTAAAACATATAAGTAGGGTTTATGCTGTTATCCTGTAAAGCCTTTTTAAGACCAAGGGAAGGTGTGTAACAAAGATTGATAGCAGTATAACACCGAGAGCTGGAAACACAATCTTGTTGCCTAAAACACGCATACAGTACTTGTTATAAGGGTGCAATACATATAGATTTTTTATGATTATATTTTGTGTGCGTCATGATGCAATTAAAGTAATGGGAGGTCAAGATTTTGAACAATAAACATTGAACTTTGCTGAAAGGTAATATAAGAAACGTTGGTGAGTTTCAAGGGAATTAAGTCATGTAGGAGTTCAATCTTAACAAATAACATGTCATGAACCTGTGTGTGGATGATATGGACCAGATATATAAGCAATCTGTTCTATGTACATATAAATGAGTGTTTGGAAAACTGGAATGTGTGGTAAGAATAGGCACACCTAACAAATACCGATGACGCTTAGATATGTTGAATATATCATGAAAAACATCTTAGAATGGAAAAAGTTTTAGGCAATCATTTAAAAAAAAAATCACAAAAAAGAGTATATTACGTTGAACATGTCATTGAAAAGTTACACAATAATATGTCAAAAATGCAATAGAAAAAAAAGTAAATGTATAGTGTTGATAAATATGAAAAAAGTCATAGTATGTTGATTGTTAGTTTGGAATTGAAATTCAATACAATTGTAACCAATTTAAATAAGTGAAGAGTAAGAACCAAACAATAGTATTTGGTCAGCGGGTAATTTATATAGAACAAGCAATTTGAATCGCTCTTTTGAGAATAATGCTTTTTAATGTATGGTCTCAGAGAAAAAGAAAGTTTATACGTGTAATAATAAAAGCTACATGAAGTGTTTGACATAAGTTAGTAAAACAGGGTCTGCGACGAGAGTGACATGATTTCCAGTTACTTTAATATTCCTTTCTGGGTAAAAAAAAGGTTTCTTTAGCTTATTTTTTGTCTTCATTTCATATTTTGTGTGTGTCCTTTTTAACCATAATTTCATCATGATGATAATGAGTATTGTTAACACTTAGGGTCCTTGTGAATCCTTGAAACAATATCGTATAATGCCGGTTAGCACTTGTTCCTCTTGCCCTTTGTTTTTTTTTCTTCTTCGTTTTTTTCTGTGTTGCCTTGCCTAGTCCACCTGGTTTTGTGTTTAACTGTTTTAGCTTTATTTCACTAAAAGCTCACTTTTTGCTAACTGACAGTAACGAACAACAGACCACTATCACAATTTGTCAAGGTGGAAAAACACAAAGACAGAAAGTAAAACAAGACAAGACAGAAGAATATAGATAAGAACACAAAACAAAAAGAATCCCTGAAATAATCCGAATAATACATTCTTATACTGTAATGCAGGTCTCTTTCCTGCAAATGGACCATTTTGCAGAGTTTTGGATTATGATTAAAAAGGGGGTTTAATCCAAAAAATAAAGATAAAAGCAAAACATATATTCATGTTTGCCTGTATCTGTGCCTGCGTGCATGTATCAATGGAATGGAATCATCAGCGGAACTGGTGGTCATAGCAACCTGGAAATTCTAGCAGTCCAGAACCCCGGACTACACAGAGGTGCATTCCCTCAGCCACTTTGGTCACATTTGACAACCTTTCAAAGAGAAGACAGAAAAACAGAGATCAGTTTAAACATCCAGTTCCAGCACGAAACAAATATGGAATTGATTGATTTCAACTCAACTGAGAAGGACCTTCCTATTAATTTCTGTTTGTCAAAAACCAACCTGGAGTTGGAGTTTGAGAGCAATCTCGAATTTGAGAGAGCGGAGACCACAGCAGCCCTGAAAAAGGCGGAAGATATCCTGCAGACTGAGCGCCTCCTATTCCAGCGAGAGATCACTGACCTCCAGGAGGAGACAGAGAAATCGAAAACGACCTGTCTCGCTCAACTGGAAGCACAAACTAGTACGCTCATGGGCGCTCTAAATGAGGCTCAGCAGGAGCTGAAGATCAGGACTCTCCAATGGCAGGAGGAGAACATTGTTCTCACTGCAAAGCTGGAGGTATCCCATGTCATCCATCTTGCCCAGCTAGAGATGCATGCATCGGAAAAAAAGACCTTTGTGTCTTTGCTTCAGGAAAAAGCAGAAGAACATCTTGAAGGGGATCATGTCCTTGAACAGCTGATGGAGGAGGTTGGGAAAACAAAGACTTCCTACGAGACTCAGTTCGAGGAGCAGCAACAGGCACATCAAAAGTTTGTGGACAATCTGAACGAGGCTGTGCAGAAGATGGAGCGTAATTGCATCCACTTGGAGGAGGACAGGTTAACCGTCCTGCGGGACAAAGAAAGGCTGAAATATAATCAGAAGATGGAGAAGAAGGAGTGGCAGAAAACAGAGAGCTACTTAAAGTCTCAGATTGAGTGGCAAACCCTCCAAAAGAAGGAGAAGAAGAAGTGGTTCAAGTGGCAAGGGAACAGGCCAACCCTCCCTCAGGACTCAACAAACGTGTCGCACAACCTGCAAAAGAAAGAGCAGAAGTGGAAGAGCTGTAAGTCGACCCTCCTTCAGGCCTCACTGAGGCTTGAAAGGAATCTGCAGGCGAGGGAGCAAGTGTGGCAAGAGGAGAAATCCACCCTGCTTCAAACCACAGACTGGCTGAAAAACCACCAGCAGGCGAAAGAGCAAGAGTGGCAGAAAGCAGAATCCTCCTTGAAGTCACAGCTGACGGACCTTCAGAGTCTCGACTCCAAGAGGAAGAAGGAGAAGACCTGGTTCAAGGGCTTCTTCTAAAACCCTGCTCCGAGTGTTTGCGCTGGGTCTGTAGGGCCACAACAACACCTTAAGCTTTAATAAAACTGCATGTTAAATTATCTGTGGGTTGTTGTTAAACATACCTTTTGAATTTAATTTCAGTCATGTGTACATTAAGTGCTTTGTTTTAAATTATAAATCAGGGTAAAAGCATTGAACTGAACTAAAGTAGACCCAACTTTTCAAGATTTTATGTTTATGTTTTAGGATGTGTTACGTTCCCTACAAATCTAGGGGTACGAAGGGGAGTAACAAAACACAGAAATGGCCAGGCACGAGAAAAAAGAGAGGGAAACTGATCTCTGAAGACACGAGCAGGTCTTTTAAGGACAAAAAAGGAACACAGGCTCACCAGCCAATTTGGCGCAGTAAACTAATGTAACCGATATATCCAGCGACCACATCTCCTATCAATTGACAAAACACCAGGGTAGCACAAATGCAGCCTTCCTCAGGTCTATGGAGGACCTGATTGGGGATTGGGAGCACCTGGGGAGAGGCTGCACCTGGGGACAATCAGAGGGAGAGAGGAGAGACACACACACACACACACACACACACACAAACATTTGGCCACAGTTACCAAAAACACTCACACTATTGGATATGAATCGTGGGATCTCACCCACTGGACAGTACATCGGCCACCACATTTATGCCGCTCCCTTCTTGTACTTGATGACGATGTTGTAGTCTTGTGCCAGCAGGGCCCAGCACATTCACCGCCTGGTTGTGTGGTTGAACATCTGGACAAGAATACAAGTGGGTTGGGTCGGTGTACACCCACCACTGGCGTTGAACTTGGACCCAACATACACTTCAAAAATGCTGCAGGGCAAGGAGCATGGCCAGAGTTTCCTTCTCAATGGTGGAATAATTCAGCTGATGTCGCTTGAACTTAGTCGAGAAGTAGCTACACAGGATGGGACACACACCCCATCACCTTCCTGCAGGCAGAACAGCACAGCCCCGAACCACTAGCTCTCACCTCTAGTTTGAATGAGAAGGAAAAGGTTGAAGTTAGACGACCATGTGAGGACACTTACAGAGGAGAGACTTGGCGAGCTAAAGGATCGGCAACACTCATCAGTCCATACAAATGGAACATTTAAGGGACTACACAGTTGGGTTTTTGCGGTGCCACACTTACCGAAAGGTTCTTTCAAACAACATCCGGATACCCTGCAATACGCGAGGACCACGCCGGAGGTCAAGTCTGGGTGGCTGCGGAGCTGGGTATGAAAGACTGGCATCGAGCTTCCTTAGCATCCACAGGACCTCACATGGCCATGCAAGCTGTGTTTGGCCTTGATAGGTGACAGTGGGCACTGCCAGAAACTCCACCACTTTGCCAGATTCACTAGTTTAGCCGAGGCTCCCTGCAAGTCGCTGGACCACACATAGTGAACTGAATCCGCCATCATGCGTCTCAGTCCAGTTTGTTGGACCAGACCCACCACCATCATCAAGATACAACCATTACAGTTGGGCACATCCCCCACACCAAGTGCATTTAACGCTGAAATGTGGCTGGTGCCATTTCCTCATGCCAAAAGCCCATTACCAGTGTATTGGCATAAACGTGGTCAGGCGTTATAAAGGGCTGAGATGTCTGAGGCCCTAGCAGTGAGAGGACCCCCTGCCAAATATCCCCTTAAGGAGATCCAACTTTTGTGATAAACACCCACTTAGACCAATACTGCCGATGCAATCATCCGCTACGGGGCAAAGGAATGCAGGTCTGGAACAGTTAAATGCGTTTACCTTGCGGAAATCGGTGAGAAACGTGGTGGTTCTGTCAGATTTAGGAGCAGCAACATGGACTGCTCCAGGGGGCTGCGGACTGGGCCATTTTTTCAAGCACGATAATCCACTTTCCTTTTTTCACTTTTTCTATGTGACACGATGATACGCATGCAGTTGCTTAACCTGGGATGAGCATTTCCAACACTCAATTCATGCGTTTACACATTAGTGCTCATGGACATCTCACCAACCATAGGGTCAGGTAGCATGAACACAAGCCGAATTACGGACGCTTCTTTTGACTTTCTGAAGGTACGCCAGGTTAGACTCTAAGCTCAACATCTCAGAGTTCGATAACCCTACCACACTGCGACCACCAAGAAGCACTATCAATTCATCCTCAACCATCGACACTGCCACAGCTAGGAATTGGCAACGTTGGGAACAGCAGTTTACTGCTGCTCCCCTGGGAGCTTCCCCTGGCATGGATGGGACTTAAGCATGTTAACATGGCAAACCTTCTGTTTTCCTCCTACGCTCAGGTTGTCAATTATAATAGTTAGTGTCAGACACTTGCCTTACGGCCCGTTCTACACGCAGCGTTAAAAAAATCTTCGCTTTTGAATGGGGTGACAGTCACTTCTGCCTCGATGTTCGCCACACTGCATTGTTGGGGAAGGCAAAGCGAAGATTTCCAGGGGATTTCCGGAGGATGTTCAGGAGTCAAAAAGTTGGCGTTCAACTTTTGGAAGCTGAGGTGGGAAGCATTCAGCCAATCAATCCCGTTTATGCAAATCTCGACAGTACAAGCGCTAGCCAATCAAACCACGTGTTTAAACTGGGAGAGCCAGTTCATTTCGCTCAATATTCAAACGAGAAATTACGTGCACATCACCCGGTTCTTTACGACCAGTAACTATTACCGGTATACCAAGACCGGAGGAACCAGGCATGGAAGGGAGGTGGCATGACGACAGTGGGGTGGACTGGTACGCGGTTTTCGCCTGTTTGGGAGGTTTATAGCCCCCCCTATATATATATATATATATATATATATATTGCTCGCATAAAAATCCCTGGGTTTTTGCTTTGTATGTCGGGCGGGGAGATTCATGTGAAGCTTTCAACACGCTCACCTCCAAGATTTTCAAGTTTTTTTAACGCTGTGTGTGGACGGGTACAACCACATACAGACCTGAAAGCGCGCGTGAAGCAGAGCCGCGCGGTTGTATGCACAACACCGACCTGTCCATTCCAGGCTGAAACTGCCGCTTACACTGCTCTCCTATCGTCCTGTTCTTCATGCTTGCCTGCGGCCGGCACCGCACGGCAAGGCAAGGCAAGCAATGGCAAGCATTAGGCAAG